TAATTGTTGTTACGTGTGCCATAATTGTTGCTATGTGTCCCCTAATTGTTGTTATGTGCGCCCTAATTGCTGGTACGTGTGCCCTAGTTGTTGTTACGTGTGCGCTAATTGTTGTTACGTGTGCCCTAATTGTTGGTACGTATGCCCTAGTTGTTGTTACGTGTGCCCTAGTTGTTGTTACGTGTGCCCTTGTTGTTGTTACGTGTGCCTTAGTTGTTGTTACGTGTGCCCTAGTTGTTGTTACGTGTGCCCTAATTGTTGTTACGTGTGCCCTAATTGTTGTTACGTGTGCCCTAGTTGTTGTTAAGTGTGCCCTAGTTGTTGTTACGTGTGACATGGTTGTTGTTACGTGTCCCCTAGTTGTTGTTACGTGTGCCCTTGTTGTTGTTACCTGTGCTGTAGTTGTTGTTACGTGTGCCCTTGTTGTTGTTACCTGTGCCCTAGTTGTTGTTACGTGTGCCCTAGTTATTGTTACGTGTGCCTTAGTTTTTGTTACGTGTGCCCTAATTTGTATTACGTGTGCCCTAATAATTATTACCTGTGCCCCAATTTTTATTACGTGTGCCCTAATTGTTGTTAAGTGTGCCCTAATTGTTGTTACGTGTACCCTAATTTTTGTTACGTGTGCTCGAAATGTTGTTACGGGTGTCCTAATTGTTGTTACGTGTACCCTAACTGTTGTTACGTGTGCTATAACTGTTGTTACGGGTGCTATAACTGTTGTTACGGGTGATCTAAATGTTGTTACGTATACTATAACTGTTGTTAGGTGTGCTCTAACTGTTTCTACGTTTGCTCCTACTGTTGTTGAGGGTGTAGTAACTGTTTTTACGTATGCTCCAACTGTTGTTACGTGGGTTGTAACTGTTTTTACGTGTGCTTTAAATCCTTTGCATATTGTCTCCAGGTCATGCCGGTGTGTTAGAAAATGCGTTGGCAGATAAATTGGCCGGCTCTGCAGCACTTGGTGGTGAACTGATGTATGACAAGCTAGATATTGTGAGGGCCCTTTGGAAGCGAGTGAACAGTGCGGAGGCGCAGATGGATTATTACTGCCTGCTGAGAATGGCGCAGCGAGGAGTTTCCAGGGGATGTGACCGATGCTCAGTACCAAGGGTAAGGAAGAGACGGATATACAATCAGAGGGCTACTGGTGCCATCGGAATTGGAACTCTTCTCATATCCGTGTCCCCAAAACATCCAGATTGTCAGACATTAATTCACCACCAAGTGCTTAAGAACCTGCCACTCAATTTGCCTGCTCGTTTCCTAACACACCGACATGACTTGGATAAAATATGCAAGGGATACTTACTATACGCGAACTCTAAAGTGTTGCTTGGAACTCTAAATGGAGCATGCCTGTCTCCACCTGTCTCAACACACTCTGTGAGTTACACCAGCAAAATATACACACAGTCTTATAGACACACATATCATCATCATCAGGTGCCTTGCCGACTGGCGTGAGCGATCATGCCTCTCCATAATCTGCGATCGCCTGCAGCATGTATCATTTCGTGTGCCGACACACCTCCATGCCATGCAACAAGACTGTCAAGCATCTTCTCTCGTTGTCTTCCTCTATCTCTCCTTCCACAGATCTTTCCAGTGGTCAAAACATGTTCTATTTTCCCTCTTCTCATAACATGGCCGGAAAATGATGACTGACTCCTTCTGATGTCTGTGATTAGTTGTCTTCAGGCTCCCGCCTCTTTCAAAACCTCGTGGTTGCTCTTTTTGGCTGTCCAAGGTATTCTAAGCATTCCTCTGTAAAACCACATCTCCGAGGCCTTCATAAATTGTTTGGCCTGCCTACCGATTGTCCAGGATTCACAGCCAAATGTTAAAACTGGATGTATGTAGCAAGCAAGAATTCTTTTTCTAACTCTTAATGACAAGGATATATTTCACAAGATGTTTTTCATTTTATAAAATGCAGTTTTTGCCTGTCCTAATCTGTTTCTTATCTCAGTAATGTATCTTCCATCTGATGTTATCCATGTGCCCAGATACTTAAATTTCTGTACTTGTCCTAAAATAACACCATCAACTTTTATTACACACTTAGGAATAATTCGTTTCTTTGATACTTCCCATTATTCAAACTGAGGCCCATTCTTCCACTTTCTAACACCACAATGTCTATCATTTCCTGTAGTTCTTTCTGACTTGTTGCTATCAAGACTGTGTCATCAGCTCAACGTAAATTGTTTATATTGTGCCCACCAACCAAAATTCCGGGCATACCAATTAAAGCTCTCATTATATATATAGACACACATATACATAAGCATATTATTAATTTTTATTCATCTTTATTAAGCATTGTAATCTTTGTAGATTCGTATACAGCTCAAACGGGAATTCCCGTTTTTGTGAGGCTGGCGTGGTAGGTCGGTGGTAACAACTGTTATCAAGTAGATGTATACACAAATTGAACAAAAGTTTAATTAATTTGCAGCATGTGTTATTTAAGGAATTATCATTTTGAAGATAAATATTTTCTAATAGCCCATTTCTTTAACTTGATAATTTGATCAAATTCACAACGGGGAAACATTGCTTTTATCTTGATTGTTTTCTTATTGTGTGGATGCTCATATGTTGTCTGTTAAGGACACTCAGGACTGTGGTGACCTGGTACAACCATCTTCTGTTGACTTTTGATACATATCTGAAAATATAATTGTATATGTCAGCAGCCGGAAATCACCCTCCATAAACATCAGAAAACGAGTACTGTAACATATCGAGCGTGTTCTGTTGTATGACAGTAAATCTTGGAATGTGAGCAGACAAATTAGGAAGAGTTTGGATACAGCTGAGATGTGGTTCTTGTGAAGAATGTTGAGAATACCTTGGACTGCCAGAATAACAAACAATGATTGCTTGGAAATGGCTAATGCACCGCCAACTCTAGATTTATAGCTAAAGATGGCCGTGGGCTAATGTAAGTAGAACATTATATACAACAATGATAAGGAGACTTCTATGGTCATGCGATGAGATAAGAAGCACTAGAGTGTATCGTCACGACTGGAATTATCACTGGTAGAAGAGGCAGAGGTTGACCAAAAGAAATGATGCTGGATGGCTTAAGACAGTGATGTAGGCGAATTTCGTCAGTGGAGCTGATCCAGAGCACCAAAGACCGAGATCTGTGGAGATGCATGAACGCCTACGGAAGCTGGCAAGGCACTCGATGATGATGAATAAATGGAGCGGTGGTGGTGTTCCATCGGATAGTTTGTCCCTTCAGGGCTGCTACCTTGTAGGTTCTCCAAACCATCCTGAGATGTAAAAATCTCAGTCTCGACAACAGACTAACAAGGTAAGATCCCGGATAGCGTCTTTGACATCCAAATTATGACTAGGCCATACGTAACGCTGATACCAACCAGCTGTAACCTGCAGTCCTATGCAGGTAAAGACCCTGTGGTGGTGATATGCTAGTGGGCTTGCTTTGTAAAGCATGTGTGTTCGGGTTCAATTCCCAGAAGGCGTGGGATTTGCTTCTTTAGCAAGGATTGCTTGACGTCAACAGATCATCAGCATGTGGCTTGGACGTTTATGTCTCTCCTCAGATCTCAATCTCGGAGTTCTGGGTCAAATACTTCTTCTTCTTCTTCTGCATTCCGAGCCCTTGGGGTTCATTGCTGCAGACATCATCCGCCTCCATTCATCACTCTGTTTGGTCTTCTCTTTCCAGTTGGTGACACCAAGTGTTTGCAGGTCTGTCTGGGTCAAATACAGTGTGCCCAAATGTGGGAGCTCAGGTCTCTTTCACACCACCCCCCCCCCCCCTCAAATCTGCAAGTGGGATAAGTGACCCTAACCCCTTTAATCAGGCATAGAAAATTCTTTTTGAAGGTCTGTGCTTTCACATTCCACATATTTTCAAATGTATTGTTAAGTTTATCTACAATTAGGCATACTATTATGATAATTATTATTACCCCTTTCCAACCAGCCCTCCATGTTTCCCAGTTGGGCTTTCAAGTCAAACTTTGTGTTGTATCTAGTACATAAGGACAGGGAGCATCTGAGTTGGGTTAAAAACCACATTCACAGCACCTGAGTCATTTCTATGAGTGATCCGTCTCCATATTAAGTGGTATTTGTTCTCTCCCTCTCTCACATCTTTTTCTCCTTCACTGTCTGTCTGTCTGTCTGTCTGTCTGTCTGTCTGTCTGTCTGTCTGTCTGTCTGTCTGTCTGTCTGTCTGTCTGTCTGTCTGTCTGTCTGTCTGTCTGTCTGTCTGTCTGTCTGTCTGTCTGTCTGTCTGTCTGTCTGTCTGTCTGTCTGTCTGTCTGTCTGTCTGTCTGTCTGTCTGTCTGTCTGTCTGTCTGTCTGTCTGTCTGTCTGTCTGTCTCTCTCTCTCTCTCTCTCTCTCTCTCTCTCTCTCTCACTCTCTCTCTCTCTCTTTTTCTCAGAGCTCATCGCCTGCAAACTTCGATGGTAAGCTCCAGTTGTTAGTCAGCTTTTGGATTTAATCTTTTCCATAAATTGAGTTTTTGCGTGCACATCCGTTTCACAGCTCAGGTTTATTTGCCTGTAGACTGTTGGTTCCTAGCCTCTCTGACTAAAGCATTGAGACCTTGAAGGAAACACAACTAATTAGTCAAGTGTTTCGTTGGTTAGTGTCTCTATACCCACCCCCCCTCCCCCGCCCCCTTTACGGCCCCCCCCCCCAATCGCAGCAATAATGCTACAGAACCCAAAAAGGGACCGCAGATAGCCAAGTACAGAAAATGTATTCAAACTTACCCAAGAGCCATTGCGCTTGTGGCTCCAAACCCAAACCCTCCGTGCCGCACTTTACTAGCCTTTCGGGGAGTGGCAGAGAGTGTCTGACCATAGCTCCGTAAAGCCCATACTCTGCCATAATCGAGGTTCGACCCCAACTTTTCTCCGTCTTCCTCCATTTCGCTCTTCTGTTTTGAAACCACACCTAGACAAAGACGCGTTGATAGGTCAAGGTACTTGCGTGGGAGAGGTTACTGAAAGGGTCAGAAGGTTAGAGTTAAAAGGCAGATACTGCCATTGATGAAATATGTATTTGTCTCTGATGCAGTCTAAAAGAGTGCTCTTCAGTCTGTTAAAATTCGGGAGGGGGGCTGCGTGGTCTCGAGGCATGGTTTCTGCCTCGAGTGCTTGAGGTTCCAGGTTCAATCCCCGTTAAGAGTGGGATTTCTTCACGTGTACTTGGACTTCTAGTAATTCCTCCTGATCTCTGGGTAGTGAGATCGGACGCCCGTGTGCATCGTTGCGCACGTAAACAAATCTATTGGCATTTGGAAATAGAAAAGAGTAGCCTAACGGCACTGCCGAAGCAAAAATTAGAGTTAAAAATCTACCCAAAGTATTCCATGATCCTCGCCGGTACTACAGAGCCCGTGCACTTTGCTGAGCTTCTTCGGACTCGGACTTCAGTTAGAAGAAAGAAAGGAGCAATTATGGGTTACTACCCGTGGGCCATGATGTTGGTCCGTTGTAGAATTGGGCACGCAGGCCTGTCTAAAATTCCGCCCTTCCAGTCCACTTCTTGCATA